CACCAAAAGCACTGGAAGCCACGACAGTTTTCCCATTTTACTTCGTTTGCCACTGCAGATGAGAAAACCAAGGAATTTATGTTAGTCTAACTTCTTCACGTGTAAAATAGTACAGAATGACACGTTCATTTTACACACAGACCAGTGGGACTTACGGCCCGTTTCTGGCAAACCTTCTTAAAGGTAAATATGTAGTAAAGTTTAGAAGCCATTCCAACCGTATGCAGTTGATCGTCTGAAATGCTTGTAGGCTCTGAACCCAAGACAGTCTCAGAGTCTCAGATGACCGGAATGACTTCCAAACTTTACCCACATCTTTACCTAGAAGAAGACCATTGAGACCCGACCGAAGCGTTGGCATTAGTTAATCTTCTGATTCATCATGTTTTTGGTTAACTACAGGTAATACAGTTTCGATTATTTTTGAGTATGATATTCAACGTACCAAATACCCGATCTTCTATATCGATTCATTCTCTTTGAAAGTGCTGATCGATTGTGAAAAATGATTTCTTTATGTAACTTAGACTTCTAAACATTAGAGAAATGACCCATTCCTGCTTTTATACCGTCCACGATAGCTCTCTGGCAGCACCGCTCACATTCCGTTCTAATCAGCAAGATGCCTAATCTGCATTCTCTGAGGGAATAAGCTGTTCAGCTGATATGTTGAACCAGTTTTCCTTCTTGAAATGAGACATTCATCACTGCGCAGATCAGCAAAGTTTCCGACGATAAGGTGACGAAAAATGCCTAACGAAAAATATGAAATACTTCTTTGTGGCTGAGTTGTAATTAATAGCGAACAACAGATATAACCCTCCCCTCTCCCGCGACTTCAATATCACACACAATTCCTTCATTTATCCTTTGCAAAATGAAAGCATCTTTCTTGATGCATTATTCCAAAATTTATCTTTTATACATTCTTCAAAAAAAAACTTAGAAAATATCAGGCATATAAAAGGAACTTAAAATTCAGAAACTGGCAAGTAACTGCAAAGAGTTTAGTACAATATCAACTTCAAAAAAGGTG